GTGATGTAGACTGTACAATGACTTGCAGGGCCAACCGATGTTCAAGTCAGTGTTCTTATCCTTTCAGACGAATTTGGTGCCATTTTACCGTCCTTCGCGAAACAAGGCTTGGTTGACCTGGGCGGGAGCCCATGAGGGATTCGAATCCCGCATCGCACGCTTGGTAAGCGCACCAGTCGCCGCTACATCACCTGGGCTTCAGTGCGACGATATCAGCTATCTATTGGTGACAACTATACGCTGCTTGTCACTGGCTTCCTATTTATCCGGTTTATCTCGTCAGCAGAGATAAGGAAATATGCTGTGAATAGTTGCTCACGGTGACTACTGGTGTTGGGCAACTCTGATTAATTCGTTTTTTGGATTGAGGTCTCTTGTGATCAGAGTCAAGCATAACCGCAGTGCAGTAGGCATATTCCGGGTTTAACCATAACACTTGCTCAGATCCCTCAATCACTAACGTCATTCGAACCCATTTGAAATACACATCATGTCTCCGGGGTCAAGGGAAATTGACTGAAAGGCAGGTGTTCTGAATGGGTTTCTACGAAATCATTCCGGAATAGCGAGGTACAGAACAAGGGTACGTACCTCAATGTGTTCAATTACCCAGTCTTCGCACTCTGCGTCACCTCTATTTCGTAGCACCCGCAACGACAAGGTTTCGGGTCGGCATATGCCGTGAGCTGAAAAAAGTGCAAACGTGTACGGTAAATGGTAAAAGACGTCGTTTTAAGACCCTCTATAAAGGATCAATATTATAACGTACCTTTGTCGGAAAAATTGTCGAAGATACAGCCCCCGTTTCTTGTTGGTTGCAGAGCACGGAATTGAAGAACGTTGGAAAACAGTTCTCTCTCAACATATAGATACCACGGCACACTACAAAATTAATTACTATTTAGGACAAAGTCACTCTTTACCCAAAGGTGAAAGGGCGTGGCTGCGCGCTCCATGTGAAGACGACAAAGATGCGATAAATTCATACGGCACAATAGCGGTTTGTCTTCTGGACAAAAACACGATTACAATTGCTCAGGAACGACACTATCCCTCCAACCACCGCCACTTGCAGATGAGGAACCCAGCCTCCCCATCCCGGGGATATACAGGGGAAGCCAAAAAGTCACTTCGACCGAGTCACATATCAGCAAAGTTTTTGCAGCCCAGAGAGAAGATGTGGATACGAGTACCAGGGCGGAAGATACCCAAGATGTTCCTCGATAAGCAGGAGCTGGCCTCGCCCATCACCTTCATGTACACCAAAATATGAAGTCATCTCCAGTCGCAGCCTGACTGGAGAAGACTTTGGAATTCATGTCACCTCCAAACAGCTGCGAAACTTCTAGTGTGGAGTCACCCATGGTAGCTACCTGGAGACTAGTACTCTCAATCTGGAAGACCTCCAACATCGAGCAGCTCCGACAACGTCGCTACGGTCTAGGACATCATCTTCACCGCAGTCGTCAAGGCGCGGGTTGATGGTATGGACCGGTACCTGGAATGGAAAGACCAATATTTTCTTCGTGGACCCCGGACTGAAGGTGAGCGCTGGCGGTTACATCGAGCAACTCGAGAAGAATATCCTCCCCACATGTCGCCGCCCGTACCTTCTTGGAAACTTGTACTGCTACAGCATTGGGTGCCACCACGTGGAATCGAAGGGCGTTGGAGAAACTCTCGCCTACTTGGAATGGAAGGGGGCTGAGTACCTAAAGAAGATGGAATATCCAAGTAGGTCACCTGACCTGAATCCCCTCAATTACCCGGTTCGGGCGGAGTTCAATAGGGTGGTCTACGGTGGCGGAGAAATCGACTATCTCGCTGATCTCAGGCACCACATCGCGGTCGCGTGCCAGAATCTCTCGCTCGTCCAGAAGGCTGTGGCGGAGTGTTATAATAGTATTTAATATGCTCTTTAATATGGTGGTAGAAATGTCCGATTAGAATTTATAAAGTGTAACTTATAGCGCCTCGAAAGTCAATGAAGAAAAGTGACTTTTTTGTTGCCCCCTGTAGAGTGATAAGGTAATGCTAGCCGAGACATAGCTGCGAATGCTGGGTGTGTCAAGGGTTGAGTTTTACGCCTCTTTTCTACCAACTGCTGTCACTTGTTCGACAGACGCATTCGCAATGAACAAGACTGCAGCTATGCGGTTGGTGGAGCCACTTCCTCAGGTAAACGGTCTCAGTAATGAATCGAAATTGCGCTTCAACATCTTCCCATCTTCTCTCTTCCCATATATTTGAAAGGCTTGTTAATGGTTTACATGAGGGGGGGGACGAGGAGCGCTAATGTACTTTATTGACAGGACCTAGGGCCCTACCTTCAAGCTATGCATCTACACGAATAAGTCTACGTTTTCAAGTAAAGGTCGAGTACATGGGGCTTATTAAAGGGGTTGGCCAAGCCAAATGATTTGCCATTTTTCTTCATTATGTGATCTACTCTTGTTCATCTATCGAACGGCAGAATTACAGAATTATGCAGTTCATGTGGTGAGATAAAAGGCGGTGTTTTCTACAGCGAGGACGTAGTTGCGAGTCGACTGCGTGGCTTCCCGTGCGCAAGTCTTTCCCTTATAAATACAGCTGCAGAAAAAAAAACATGGAACAAGCCACAAGGTCGCCTTTCATACAGTTCTGAAACTCTTATTCAACAGCAAAGCAGTGGAAATGTAAGTAGATAGCGGGAATTCAACAAGAAAAAGCTAATCAGGCTCATAATTTGGTTTACTTACTTTGGACGTGATTAGAGCCTTTGTCATTTGTGAAATCGACTTCACAGGAACTCCAGGGGTAGCCAAGGATATTCAACTCCATAGTCCTTAAAATGTATGGAACTGCTCACTCGCGCTGGTGGGCAACTTCCCTTTGGCTCATGCTTCAAGCCACTCAAAGATGCGTGATGGAGTCGAAGGGTGAAGGCTTTTACTCGGTCATTTCGTGATCCTGATGCTGGCCTTTGGTGCCGTAACCTTGATCTCATGTCCTTTTGTGTTTGCTTAAGATCGTTTTTGTGATTTGAAAACAGTTCTAGGCATACTTCATATTATATATCCACGATTTTACGGCACGACAAGTCAAGGAAAATTAAAAAATAATTTAACAGAAAATTCCGATTTTTTGGCTTGTTCCAAGTTTTTTTCCGCAACTGTACGTCTCCGCCTCTTTCCCCATCTTGATCTTCGCAGCCGTCGTCGCGCTTCCCCCATGTACTTGGAACGCCGCTTTCTGGTCAGATATAGACAGAATATAACCGCTCCTCCGGCAACTTTTAGTGTTCGCTTGATGATTTCCCTACCTCTATCGGTTTAACCTTTCCATCAGTCGGGATGAAAACTCGGGGAATAAGAGATGAACTTTGGAACTGAAGGAATTGCTGGCCCTTATAAACTTCTTGCGCCTCCAAGAATGATGGTGGGGTCCCAAGTTTTCTATCGAACGAAAACGCGAGGCTGACGAGCTTCTCAAAGTCGGAGAGGAAAAATGCGCGCTAAAGGGCAGCTACAAATTTGATTAAAAGTCGAGGGTGAGGCGCATGTGAAGAATAAGGGCAGGTGGCACGATAAATCCCCAAGAAGTGTAGGATTAAAGCGCCTACCAGGACAGGATTCGAGGCCCCGAGCAGGCGCTGCGTGGGCCATTTTCCAAGGAAGGTAGCCCTACAGCGCCCCATTAGCTGCAACATACCCACCCGGACGCCCACAAATGTCCGACCAATGCTGATGCTCGTATCGCTTCATTTGCGAAGTAAAATATGAAGCGAAGGGATTGATATGAAGCGGCCGCGGTGCTGCATGGATATATGAGTACATACATACATGCAGCCGCATCCACCGTGGCAGTTATTGGCGCGATGCCAACAGGGAAACTTTTCCGCAATCGCTCTCTGAATCGTGTAGAATGAAAGGCTTTTTTGCAAGATTTCGACCGTTCTACTTCGCTTTTCGCCATTTTTCCATTATACCGTAGCGGTTATTGGCACGGTGGCAACGGGAAACCCTTTCGAAATCGCTCTTAGAATCTTGAAGAACACATCTTTTTTGCAGGTTTTTGACCGTTTCACTTCCCGTTTTCACCATTTTCCAACTATATAGCACACCTGCTACCGTTTTAGGTCGAGTACCAAATTCTCGTCACCCAGCCTCTTAGCAACACGGAGAACTCTGTGCGGTTTGTTGTTCACGTATCGCGATGAGAGTACAGTGTAGAAAATCCTCTTACTCACTAGAACAGAGTTGCTCGTGTGCCCAGGATACCTCATCGCCGGGATCTGTGCAGTTTCCAAGCGGTACGAACGTCTCTGAAAGCGGTCCTTGAGCTCTACAGTTTCACGCACGAAATTCAATTTGCATGTAGCTACACACTTCATGTTGATGGCTTGAGTGAAGTCACGTGGGTCATCGCGCCTTTCTGATTGGTAGATCTGTACTTCTAACATAACAGAGGCCAGGGACATAAAGCTGATTAAAACGCCACGGTGAGACCGACTCCACCCACACCGCCATCGTGAAATGTGCCTCTAGCAAAAATCCTGCCAGTCAACGGACCGAGGGCGCATCCTTTGCTGCTCATGCCAGCACCCTCATCAACTTCCATCGGACCTGTGTCCTGGAATGGTATAACCATTTCTATGGGGACACGTGAAAGAGGCTTCGTACGGCGTCGTTCTTCAAGAGCGTCCTCGAGGGTTTTCTTTATCATTGACATTTACTACTTCTCGTTGGCACGGAAGGGACTGAGCTGCTCAGTCTGCGAAATTCGTTACACAGGAGTGAATATACTAGATGTTGCGATGAACATTTAAACAGCAGCCGACATGGGAGAAAGCTCACGTTACGATGGCGCATAACTTGTAATCCAATGAAAGAGATTACGCTGACAGAGAACTCAGATGCAAAGTTAGGGAAAGAAACGCAAAGACATTAATATGCGCTAACCTTTGTGGTGTAATAATGTTCTGTATGGAAAGACGTCTCACCAGCTCATGACGTCTATCACCAAGGGAATTTAGCTTTCGAGATTGGCGACGGTGATGGCTGCACAAAACCTCGTGAAGCTTCATCGGGTGTCTGAAAATGTATTGTCGAGTATATAAACAGTATAGGCTGGTCAAAATTTTTCGATCTCGTGAGGGCAGACACAGCGGTTTAGCCAGTAGTGGCGCAACTTCTGAACTCGCCATATGTGACGATGCCTTTACCAATCGCGGAACTTCCTGTGCTCATTTGGCTAGCACTAGAACTTTCTTTTCATTTTTACTGGTAGAATTAATATAAGTAGTGCCAAAATGTTGAAATTAGTCTGCCTCTGACAAGAAAAGTTTTTTTTTTTTGGGGGGGGGGTTCCGCGCTTTCCAAGCCTGGAGGCACATTTCAGATTTTTGCTAGTTCCTTTTGCTAGCTCTATGGTAACTAAAAGGCCGGGAAACTCTTGTGAAACTACGAAGTCGTATAGGTGTGCCACGTTACTTGCAGGAAGTTGCAGATCTCACAACCTTGTATCAACCTTCGCTGAATAACATTTGGTGGCTCCCCCCTAACCTCCCACAACCGCATGGGCGAGTCTCCAGAAGTGAACAGCAGTTGCGGTTTAAGGACCACCGATTTTTGGCTGGATGTTTTTTCTGAAGACAATCACTGATATCCTACGACTTTGGTCTTGTCCCTCCCCCCTTTCCCTACCCACCCACCCCACCCCACCCCAGAACCTGCTTCTTTACTTCATCGTATCACACTTTCAGCTCCTTTCGAATGTCCTGAGAAGCACGACCTTCAATTACGAGCATGAAGTTGGGATTTGTATTGGGATTAGTTTCTGGTGGAGGAACCCATTCTGCCTAGGAGGAGTCAAAAAGCCATTGGAATTGAAGTTCGAGGATATAGAAAACGAGGTCAAATGCGTTGGAACGTCATTTACTATAATGCTTGAGAAAAGAATGTTCCGTTGTGATTGAGAAGACAGTCCTGTTCGCTGCGGCTGATGGGGAGTGTCCATGTGGTTGGGCTTGGCGCGACGCCAGCCCGTTTGTTTTCTTTTTTTTCTTTCAGCGAGCGACGAGACTATATCATATCGTCGTATCATATTGTCAGTCGCTGTCTTGATATTTTTTCGCTTACCACCTTCGACAATTGGTGGGAGCTGAAACAGGGCACATTATTAGGTGGAGGATTTTGGTCGAGTTTGTACGACCCCCCCCCCTGCTTCCTTCCTCATGGTGCTGTCGAGCGGGAGGGGGATGAGGGGGAATGACCTCCCTACCCCTACCGCTCCCTCTACCGATTCTTAGATTTTCCCCAACCCCTACAACTTTTTCCGGAATTTCTCGAAAACTTTCCTACTTTCGAAATTTCGCTGTCGAAGGGAGTGGGAGGAGACAATATAGTATATGCGAAACAATGAAAAACTACGAAAAGTCAGCAACTTCTCTCAGAAGCTCAGAAGGGAGATACGACCCCACCCCTTTACAATCTCCCTGGAACAAGAAAAATCCACTAAACCAAAAACATTTTTCTGAGACGAAACACGACACGATCCCCCCGCCCCTCTCCCAGCGACCAAATACGACTCCCTTGTTGATCCAAAACAACAACGTGCTCTGCGCCAAAGCAGCTTCACTGACATGCCCCATCATCGGCAGCGAGCAAGACTATAACTATCAACCTAATAGTTCAAAGGAAAGAAGAAGTTGCTAGGAGATGGATTGAGTCCATTTTTCAATCTCATCTTCTATAAAAGATAGTAAGCTCATGAAACCTCAGCCATGTAGAGTTGATTTCGTCCTCCTATGCCCTCCAACATGCGGTACTTTTCCGCGACCGAAAAGGTTCGACACGACGGGAGACCAGGTCTGGAACAGGACAATGTGATACTATAGAATGTCTTCTCATACGGAAGCTTCATTGAAAGTGTAAGGATGGAAGAGTGACAACCTTAGCAACATGTTGCTGATTAAATTGGAAGATTGCCCGAGAATATTTTGAGGAAATACTGAGAATGGTGAACAAATTCAGCTCAGCACTTTTCTTCCCATTGAAGTCTCAACTCGGAAGGAAAAGGGAGGCAGTTTGGCAACGCGGGGCACTTTGCACTCTTGCTGCTTCCCATCGACATGTCGACCTATTCAAGGGAGATGGGCAAGAGGAACCGTAAATTGCCGCTTCGTCGCGCGCGGCAATGGGCGCGACGTTTCCTTAATTTGCACTACCCTTTCGACGGAGCATCGGATTTCATGTAGACAAGTACAGTCCTCATCATTACGTACTGGGCCATTCAATTTCAGTGACATGTTGCCATGGACACTTATTTCCCTAAGTTTTGGGGGATTATGACATTGTCTATTCTCGACCAATACCACCTCATATCGTCTTCATTAGCGGGCGCGACGTCGCACACGACGACTGGCGCGGCGAATTACGATTCTCTTGCCACATACCCCCCCTATTTAGGAAACCAATTTTCGAGCTTACAAGAGTTAGCAAGTCCTTCCAGGATGACCAGGAGCTCGCTCCATACTATCCCTAGTTTACAGTTTTCACCCGCGTGAGACTTGTAAACCGGAACTAATGAAGCAGCGAATGTGCAGAATGCCCCCCCCCCGTCAGCGAACTGCGCTAGGGAAAGAAAAACTGAGCTGATTTTTTGAGAAATCTACATAGTACGGTCCTGGCAATTCCAATCTCCTTGGTACAAATTTTCTCAAAAAATCAACCAACTTCCGAAATCCCCCTAGCTTTCCGAAGGTCTTCTGTACAACGGGCTCTGCGGGCTCCAAATCTGTGGCGTTGTAGACCTAAACTTGATTTTTGAGTCTTTGGCCAACTCCAATTTCCTGTTTGAGGTGCTTGCTTAGGCAAACACAAGGTGTTTTTGGGTAACCGGAGAGAACCGTAAAATCCATTGAGAAACAGCCGTACGGCGCCCGAAATAAAAAGATTCGGGTTTTTTTTGAATGAACAGCCTTTGAGAAATGAATAGGATCAGGGGTGATTTTGTTCATGAAATCTTGTACAGGGTTACCTTACTGACCTCCAAATCTTCGATGATTATAAAGCTGGAATTGATGAGAATGGTAATCTCGGTGTCATTGGCTTCTCCCTTTTCGCCTGTAAAAGCAGTGTGCTCTTCTTTTGCATTGAGAAGATTGTTTTCATCTTATAAACACTTGAACATTCTCAAACATTCATGTCTACATCCTTTGAACAGCAGCTTGATCTAATTTTATCTCTGACTAGGTTTCCTTCTCATCTGAAAACTTTCATGCGCTTTGAACAAAATGTGGGTTGGTGGATTGTTAACTTTCAGAAAGGTAGAACGAGATAAAACTGATAAGCAATACCAGTAGTTATGCAAATGATATTTGTAATAGTCTCCAGCACTATAGCACTTTCGTTCGCGGTATAATTCAGCGTTCAGACTTCGCGACGGCAGCGCTTCGGACGCGAAGTCTGAATGCTGCCTAACTCAGCAGGAAAGGTCTACATGTCAG